CCCACACACACGTTTTTAAGCTCCAGGGATGATGCTGACCTGCTAAATCTGGTTGCTGCCAACTCTGTTCCACCCAAGCTCTGTGATCTGTACCTTGGAGCTGGAAGCCCATAGAAATCAATCTCTAGGTCAGCTAAATGGCTTCAGGTGCAGCAGGGTGAGTTTTCTGGATGAGAAACACAGCTACTTGTCTGAAATGGCAAAGAAAAAATAATTCTGCCAGTTGCTTTGGTAAAAGCCTCATGTTTTTGCAGAGGGTCCTCCCATGCCATCCAGTTTTATATTTTCCTCCGTTCTATGTGTCTTTCAGTGGGTAGCTCTCATTTTCCTATGGCAGTTCTGGAGGAATTAATGACATAACTTACACAGGATCGAACGGGACGGCCGAGCTGGCACAGCAAAGATGAGCCAAAGTCCATCAGCCAAGCAGGCTGAGACTTTCTGGGTCTGGGCCAGGTCATTCCTCACGCTTCCAGACACATCCTTGGTGTGTGCTCACATGAACTGGGTGAGTGGAGGCTACTTTTGATCTGAGGCAGCCTCTGGATGTTTGACTTTGCGGTGGGAAAGGAGCCTGGCTGGGCTGTGCAGCTGCTACTTGGGCATTGCAAACAGCTGGGCTGGCAAGAGGGGCTCAGGTTCCCTCTGGCTTAGAGGGGTCCCAGCTCACAGTTTGGCCTTCCTTCAGACTCTGCTATTTTTACCCTGCTCTGCTCCGAAGTTTATTTGCCAGTTGCCAACTCCCCGAGGTTTGGCTCCTCAATTCCACCAGCAGAGCCCGGGCAGCAGCAAAGCCAAAACCCAGCCCTGTGGTACAAACTGGGCAGCACAAGGACAGCAGAGTGTGGGTTTAAATCACAGACACAAAGCAGGTACTTGAAGTGTTTTAGCAACCACTTCCTTCCCTCGGGGCATGCAGATGTTTCTGGCTTCAGGGAAAACAGAGGGAAAACCTCCATGCCTGGTGATGGAATGGTGGGGCTGCAGCATCAGCTCTAGGTGTTTTACACAGTTCTGAATGTTTCTTTTGGGAACAAGGTTTGATCCAGAGCACACTGGATCTCCAGTGTGGACCCTGTGTTGGCATTGCATTTGGGAGGTCTGTGCCTCTGGTGGGCACAGATGTGGGGCTGCAGCAGGGAATGGGCATTTTGCACCAGCTGGGGAGAGGTGGCGAGTAAAGACCCTGGTCCAGCCAAAATATCCTTTATTTAACTGCTGGGGAGGAGAAGTGAAACAGAAAACTGGATTTGCCCAATTTGTTCATTCCTACCAACAAGGAACGTGTGCTAAAGGTTGCTGGAAGGTTTAGTGCATATTTATGTGTGTCATGGTTGGGGAGAAAGGAGATTTCTTAGTACTGGTGGTTCTTCCATGTGTCAGCATGGCCTGCTCTCCTTTGTTTGAACTCTGGGAAATGGGAGGAGGAGTTGAAAGAGGGAGATGCAGAGTTCAAGTAGGCCAAGTGTTCCTGTTTTATTTCCATCCTGAATCAGTTTTGGGCACTTTTTCTGAAAGTCTGTGGTTTCCATTCTGTTGTTTTGAGGCTGAAAGACCTGAGAAAAAGGAGCAGGTCCCCAACCAAAGCCATCACCTGCAGCCCAGGAACTCCATAAAAATGTGACTGTGGCTTTTTATTTCTGTGGGTAGGAAAACATAAAATCTGTGAGACTCACAGTATTGTGGGATTTCTTTCCCTCAGGTTTGGGGCTTCTGCCTTTTTTTTTTGTTAGCTAGAGATGATTTCTGTAACAAACACCCATGCAGCTAGTGAAGAGAAAAGGGAAAGGCTGTGAAATATCTGAGCTCCTCTATCTGCATAATAACAGCAGAGACAGCACAGGGATGCTGTGCCTCCTCACTAGATAAATTCCCTTTTTCTGGTGGCTGCTTAGAGCAAATTCATTCAGGGAAAGAGAAGGTGTGGTTGAAATGATAATGGAGTTTATACAGCAAACCCCAGCTATCACTTTGTCACCATGGGTGGCACTTCCTACTGTGCTCCCACCTGCCCCAGCAGCATGAATTCTTCTACCAAAATCCAGGCACGTTCCAGAAAGGTGGCTTAGCAGTGAAGAGTTTGATATTGCACATTAATAGCATCAAACAACGATGCACTTGATTCCTGGGACAGCAGATGCTGAAGAACAGAGCTGGGGAGCAAAAAACTCAAGGTCCAGTGGGAACACAGCTTTTTAGATGCTTCTAAGGTTTGGATTGTTTTCAATAGCCCTACTCAAAAAAAAAAAAAAAAAAGGCATTTTACAGCAGTTATTATGAAACAGTTAATAAAAAAATTAGTTAAAAAACTAATTAATGAAAATGGCTTAAATCTGGAGAGTGGCCACGGGGAGAGTATTCTGAAACGTTACCTACATTGAGCTTTTTTTGTTTGTGGGTTGTCAAAGCCAAGGATTTAAATCCAGTTGTCAGTTGTCACTGCCACAACAAAGCATCACCTGTTTGTGTTCAGGTCCTCACGTCTGTCCCTCCTCGTGGCCCAGAAAGTGGCCTGAGACACCCAACATCTCCTAACAAAAGCTTCCCTCAGCCTCTTCATTTCAAGTCTGCTCTGCCTTTAGTGCTTTAGGGGTTTTTTTGGCTGTGAAAGACTCAACAGTGAGGCAAAAAGCTCGTTCAAGTGGGACAGCACAGCGAGTTTCCCTCTCTGTAGATGACTTTTCAGTTCTTTATAACATCCTACTGATTCCTCATTATCCTTCCAAATAAACACCAGTGATGGAATTGCACTTAAGGAAGAAATGGTGAATTCCAATTTGAGAGGAGCTCAAGGCTCTGTACAGTTCAGCTGTTCAGAGAAGAGAGTTAAAAGTTCTGACTGGGAAATTCAAACCATTACATGCCTTACCCATGGATACCCACACATACCTTATGTATTAGTGTGTTTTCCCCAAAAAACATTTTTCCATTTTATGCACAAATTGAACTAAAGGTTGAGAATAACTTGGGTGAGAGTGACAGGGGTTTGTTTTCTTGGCAATAAATATCAAAATGTAGGTTTCTTTTCTCTCCTTGTCCTTCTGTACATGAGAACAACCAGCAGATCAGGGCAGTCTTTGCTTTCTAATCAGAATAAACAATTTAAAGGAACTGGCTGTGATGCTCCTGTTTGTTTTAGTTTGGTGATAATGGCGCGGTAATGACAGTCTGTAAGTCACTATCAGCATTTTAACATCTTCTGTGGAAATTCCAGAGGTATTTAATTTGCTCCTTGGTATATGAAAGCTGTTCCTGCTGAGCATAATGTGTTCAGTATAATTCTTACTCAATTACTAGAAGCACACTGTAGAAATCGTTTCAACTTGGTAAGGGAGCTGCAACACACCCAATATGCGCATTTACCATTTCCCTTCTCATTTGTCTTCCACATTTAGCTGTTGTCACAACTGCAAGTGCAGTTTGAGAAGGGGAGTGGGTTGCAATTATTTGTAATTTTACGTATTTATGTGTTTTTAAAGCTGCTTTTTGTCCTCTTTCTTTCTGCAATATGTTTCCATAAGTCTTAGCACAGTGGGATGCAATTATGGTCTCTCACAGTTGCGAAACCCCTAAGAATTACTGGAGTGTTGCTGTAATGAAAATGATCCTTTTCCATTTCTGAGCTGACTCGCCTTGTTATAGAAGCTGCAGGAGAGAACTGTGGTACATGAAGTAAATGACATTGCAAAAGATTTCTCATCGTTAAATGGGGCTTTAAAATTTCTGTAGTTTTGACTGGTTTAGGTATATTTCTACAGCACAGTCTGAGGCCAGTGATCTGCTACTGAAAGAATGATTTCTAATGTGAAAAAGTTTGTAAAATGTCGGGCTTTCAGTTGGACATCAAGGTTTGGGATGAGCCAGGGAGGACAAGTACAGGAAGTACAGGAGAAGCTGAGGAAAACATGCTTGGGAGCAGCAGGACAGGGAAGAGAAAGAACTGTTGCTGTTGAGGGAAGGAACCGGTTCCAAGAGGTGAGAATCCCCTCTGGAATCTCCTTCCTGCCTGTACTCTGTATTAGGACCTGGACACCCCAAGTGCATTCCTGACATTTCCTCGAGGAGTGGGTGGAGGGAGGCACAGCTTGAAGCATCAGCAGAGCTGCCAACACAAAGCAGCAGTTGTTTGCTGGTTATTTTTTCTGGGTTTGTGTTTGTGTTTAATCCAGTTGTGTCAAAACTGTTTCTTTTTACTGGTGTGAGAGCTGAAATTTCAGCTCGGTGTCCTCAGTGTTTTGGGAACATCTGGAATGATTCCTGTAAACAACAGGTGACAAAGGGCCTCGAGAGAGCATAGTGTGTTAAGAAAACGTAAATCTTTCTGGAAAAACTGTCCAAATCCTCCAGCCTGGCAGGAAAAAAAGATCTTTCTCTGTGAATTGTTGGTCCTGCCTTTTTGTAGAGAGCAAGTCAAATTGTGTTTGCCTCTGGGAGGAGGACCCATCACAACAGCCATGTGATGTGGGATGGAGTTCTTGGTGTGTGGAAGTCAAAATGTTGCTTTCCTTCTGCTCAGCTGCAGTTTCTTTTCAGCTCACCTCGAGCAGTGGAAAGGTTTTGTTTATTCCTTAGCAGTCTCTGTTCAGTATCCCACCCTTCCCTCTTAAATATCTGGGTATAGAAACTGCTGGAAACGTGATTCAGACTAAAGGGACAATGTATTTATTTATGCAGTGGCCTCAGCCACGTTTTTGTGGTGTGGTTTGGTTTTTGGGGCCCCTTCCCCCTCTCTCCAATCCAAGCATCATTCTTTGTATTAAATACACTGTGGAGTGTTGGTATCTGGGCATTTCCCTGCACACGGAAAGGAAGCCACAGATTTTGGAGCTATTGAAATACAGGGAAGCTCAAATCTCTACAGCTATTCCAGGCAGCCTTTGAAACACTAAAGAGCAAGTTTTATTACAGAGATTAGTTTACATTACACTCATTTATTAAAACCTAAGGACATCTTTATAAAAACTACTGTATATAAAGACAAGAGCAGTGCAATAGCAGTGTAAAACACATTTTTGGTTTACTTGGCAATCACTTTAGAAAGACAACATGATTCATAATATGAAGTCAGAGAATGCTGCAAAATATAGGACAGGATTAGATCCAAAACTAGGTTAGCAAATCACTGGACACTGGCACGTATTGATTTCAAACATCAAGTGTTATGTAAACAGTATTATTGTCATTGTATTAATAAAGAGAAATCACTGCAACCCTAGAATTTCTAGTTAGCTTAATTAGCCTAAAATTTGTCTGCTGACTATTAAAATAGACTATTGTACTGTATATATTCTTAGTAATTTACTACTTTTGTAAAAGGAGGACTAGAAGAAATGCTTGTCTCACAGAAGAGAATTTTTTGAGGCTGAGAAAAGATGTTTCTTCCTGGTGAGTGGCTGAGGTTTTGTTTTTGCTGCTTTACCTTTCATGCACCATCACTGGTGGTGAAATAGAACTGACTTTACAAAACCATTTTGACCTGTTGCTTGTTCAAGTGGACAGTCCTCATACAGAAATTACAGTAAAACTATAAAAAACAGTTATCTAAAAGAGCTGCTACAATATGCTGAAGTAGACATTGAGAGGCCAGATTATTTTCACTCTGTTTTTGTAAAATTGATAACCAGGCACAAAAGATGGTTAATTACAACATCAAGTCCTGCACAAGCTTTATAACTTATCTTTTTATGTCCTACGTTATACACAGCAATTATTGAGAAGTTGGACAATGAATTCTCAGTAAAACTAAGGAGAGAAAATGAGTTGGACAAGGAAGGAGGTTTCTGGAGCATGAAGGTCATTAATAACCACTGAGACAGAGAGCTGCCATTGTAACATAGACTGTAAATGTTAATTTTAGATCCCTTATTTTTCCAACTAGAGCAGGATGGACACAGAGGAAAATATATCTATTTTAGTCCAGATTGTTTCTTACAGAGAAAAGTTATGTTTGAACCAGTCTCTGCAGGAAAAAGTGAAAAGTTCATTGCAGTTTATCTGGTTCACCATGATTTTGGTCAAGTAAAAGCAGGGAGATATCAGAGCCCAGCTACAGAGATGGCCGAGATGTTGAGGTGACTGTTTGTGTAGCCAGTGCTCTTCCACAGTGTCCCAAACACTGAGGGAGAAGGGCTGGTAGGGAAACACATGAAGTGCACTATTTCCTTGGAGTTTAAGGCCCAGCTAGCATTAGTCTTATTCAGGATCTTATATTCTGCTAGAACAGAGAGACTCTCAGAGGATTCTAACAACACACTTGGTGAACAGCAGCTCACCAGCTACAACAGGGGTTTACCCATAAATTAACTGGTAGGCAAAATCAGAATTCCAGCCAGAGAGTATCTGCTTTCTATTAACTGGCTCTGTGTGTAGAGCATAAAAGAAACCAAACAAACAAAAAGCACATCCATTACAAGGTATACGTGTACTAGAAGGAAAGCATAAAACTGCTCAGTTATAACGCACAATTCCCAGAGGGAAAAAAACCCTTACAAAATACAGTAAGTCACACAAACCAGTATCTAATACAAATTCCTCCATGAACATAAGCTTTTTACAAAGCTCTCTGTGGCAGTCGTCACCTCATGATGGAAGTAGGTGCTGGCAAAAGGGAAAAGGAGCCAAAGAGTTACCGCAAAGTGCCTTGGTGAGTCTGCAGACATGCATGTAGACATGCACCTTTTGGGTGTAGATATGCACTTTTTTGGGTGTCTGCGGGGGTTGTGGATCTTGGAGACAATGAGGGAATGTGGAGAAGGTGTGATGTTGGCAGAGCCATGGATAGCATTGCCCCCAGCTCTGTGGTTTCCTTTGCTTTCTGTGTGAGTTGGCACTAAGAGCACCACCTTCCATCTCATCAGGATCAGCTCTCCCAGCCCAAGAGCACAGACCCTTTCCCTGCAGAACTCCTCATCCTCAGGGAGAGAGCAGTTTGGACTGTCTGCCAGGATCTGCAAGCTACTTTGCTGAGGGTCTTTTCTGCTCCCAGCTGAAGTGCTTTGGATGGTTCCACAGTGCCCTCATGACATATTCTTTTTGGAAAAGTTTGCAGTGCTCTGATGACATATTCTTTTTGAAAAACTAGAATAATCTCTGAGGTTTAGTGTGAATCAAGGTCTAAAAAAATACTGGCCCTGTTTTATTTGAAGTACTGTGTCACTCACAGTGTCAAACAGCCCAGCTGCACTGTGGCAGCTCCTCTGGGGCTCTACAAGGGAAGTTATTTACTCAGGAGCTTCTGTGATGGGTGAGAATGGGCCAGGCATCAAGCTTAGCTGGGACAGGATGGAGTCTAAAGCCCCCCAGGGTGGCACTCCTGCCTGTGGCATTTGAATTCTTTCTCTGAGCTGTTGCCTGTCCTTACTCAGTGGTACCAGGCAGGTTTAGTACTTGGTTTGTAAAGAAAAGGGGCTTGTGCATATTGGTATCCTGCTCAGATTTTGAAGGCTGAGCACTCTGATGGTCTCCAGCCTTGTTGGGTTCTCCAACACTATTTATTCCTGTCTGGTTTTAGTCATGTATCATCCTGCATTCCAGTAGCCATGAATTAGTTCAGGTAACTCAGAATAGTGTCCCTTTTTAAGTTCAACAGGAGAATAAAATTCACTCAGTCAAAGAGGTCCAAAAGAAAAATTTGATTCTGCATGGACCAGGTGTTCCTTGTGTTGGTTGTACAGCAGAATGTATGGTCATTTTGAAGTTATTCAGACTTACAGGGCAAAATATTAGGACTGAAGGATTAATTTGGCATTATAAGGGCTTTGTGTTATGATTTCCAGATGAAACTCCTCTGTTTGGTTGCCACTGCCAGGTTCTCCATGTATACCTCTTAAATAATTGAACTTCACAGAGTTTGCTCATGTAGTTGATACTGGAGAATTTTAAAATAACTCTGTCCTGTGGAAAGTTAAGTCAACCCATTGCAACCTGGTGACCAAGTACTTCTGTGGTAACATCATTGTCCTTCTGGCTTACGAATGAATTCTTGGATTTGTGAGGTGTAAACTCTGAAGCCAGTCAGTAACTGAGGGAGTTGGACTATTGTCTTGTAAAGCAGAGGGAAAATGGTATTATTGCTTTTGAAATACACAGTTGGTCAACTTTTTTTGTTTGTTTGTTTCTTTTTCATCTTCAAGGAGTGTGGGGGTGGAATTGAGTGCCTGTGTTGCTTCCTAATAAAGCTCCCCTCTTGAAGATGGTGTGTGAACTTAAGATGTGCTCAGCTGCTTGATGTCTTAGCAGAATCATTGCCAATCATCTTAAAATGTGCATTAAGGTTAAAACAACTGCTACCCTGCAGCTGGACTCAGTAAAAAGGGCTTTGCTTACCTTGCAATGCACATGGTAAATATGGTTAACAGTGATATGGATTGCCAGCATCTACCCTACTGTGACAAAATGCTCACCAGAGAACTTTGGAAAAACTCACATTCAGTATTCTGACACTTAGATTAGGCTCAAATGGCAATAGATGGATGGGGAGGCAAAGAAAAGTTATCTACCACAGGTTTGTCTTGTGATCTTTTTCCACCTTTGTGTGGATTTGCCAGAGCAACTTAATGTTCTTCTTATTCAGCATTTTCTCAAATATGGTGCTTTCTTTCAGAGATAACATTGTTGGTCTAGAACTAAAATATTGCTTACAGACTGCTTTCTCCTGGAGACTCTTTCCGTATCATTTCCTCACAGAAATTGTCTGAATGATGTTTGTCTTCAGGTGACTTCCTCCATCTTCCTCATGTAGTCTTTCCCTCTCCTGCTTATCCCTAATTTTTCCTCCTCTTGGAATTCAGTTGGTTTTCTTGAAAGCTGCTCCTTGAAGTCTGGTCCTACCTCTCCCATCTTGAGGCACGTCAATATGATTTTCTGGAAGACATAAACCACAAATGTTTCGTGAGCACACAACATCAAAGTATTTCCTGTAAAGGAGATCTTGTAGATTTCTCAGTCGTGGATTTGATTTGGGGAGGCAAAAAAGAGGAAGGAAAAGCACGAGGAAGGTGTTAAGAAGCCTCTACCTTCCCTCATTAGTTCTGTTTGGTGCAGAGTGAATTTTGGGCTGTGGATGGTTGCATTCTCCTCTTTTTATTCGATACAGTCAGGGAGCCTAAGCTAGTTTCTCCCTGTTTGTATTAAACTGAACAAAACACTGCTCTAAGATTTGGATGCATGTCTGAACTCTGCCCCCTGTTCCTTTCACATGATGAGAAAATGTGCTTCTATTCCACAAATGTAAGTGGATAAATAATATATTTACGTGCTTTCCTCACAGAAGTGTTGTAAATATTCGTAAGGTTGTTTTTGCTCGCAGTGCCTCCAGGACATAACAAATGCTTTAAACCTGCCCAACTTCCCCTTGTGCAGAGTGTGTGTAAATGGCTCTGGGATTCAGCTACATATGAGGTTGAACTGGCTGAAAGCCCAACTAGGCAAAGCTTTGAGATCACTAATCATAGTAATAAACTCCAGAAATGCATCTGTTTGCTCCAGCAGGCAACTGGTAGCGGTACAAATACAAGCTGTTGGGTATCCAATAGCAACAACACTTAATTAACTTCTCCCACCAGAGTTCTTTGCATAATGGGTAATCCTAAATGTATGTGCTACAATATACATATTGCATTCCATTAATGTATAAAATACAAAGAAACATGTGGTTCAGACAGCGGAATATCTGTGGGAATCAGCACGTTCAGTGTCTCACCCATCAGAGACTTGAGTCTCAACTTCCACCTCGGCAAAACTCTTCTTAAAATTGCAGCAATAGACGTGCTCAACAGTGCACAGGTCAGGTATGCAGTCACCTGGGCTGTAGCACAACTGTATTATCTTAATTCAGATTTAGAATTCATTCAGATTTAGGCACTTCTCACAGCACTCTCAGCCAGGGAGGACCCCTGGGCAGAAAAATGCAATTTTCTCACAACTAAGACTCTGAGGATTTTTAAGCCAAAACTTAATCACATGAAACCTATTTCAAGGTTGGACAACTGATTACTTTCTAATAATCAAACAGGCTAGATAGGCTTATTCATGTTAGAAATGCAAATTTAAAAAAAAATTACATTGTTTCGTTCTGCCACTGTCCTTTTTTGACACTGGCAGAAATGCACACTAACACAACATGCAGACCTGCCTCTTGTGAGTCTGCAGGCAGCTCAAAGTTGAAATTGAGTTGTTTGTACCTAGAAGAGAGTCTCAGGAGACTTAGTTACAACTGATTTAAAAAATACCTGGGAAGAGAGAATCTGAAAAGTACGAGAACGCGTCATGGCTGGGAGGCACCTACGTCCTTCAGAGCACCTTCAGGTGTTTCTGTAGATTGCCTGGTGTGCTTTAGCTCTGATGAAATGCTCTACCAATCTAAAATCTGCATAATTTAATTCACTAGACTGTTTGAAGGGATCCAGTGTCATTCCTTTATTTATTTATTTATTTATTTTAAAAATGGTTCGAGATGAAGAAGATAGAGCAGCCATTTGGGTGTTCCAGGACAGTTTTAAGTGTGTCAAACCCATCAGCCAGTTAGTCTTTTCCTCTACTTGAGAGTCCCAAAGTTGCTCCTGGCCAGATCCTTCTTCCTAGGTTAATGTAAAATCAGGAGTGTCATCAAGCTGGTGTAAAGTGAGAGTTACTGGAGTTCCTGGAGCCAAAGACCATAAAAAAAGTTTATGAATGTTTCTATGCAGCACAGAAGCTAAAATATCGCTCCTGTGAGTAGCTTCCATTTCCTGCCAGTTCCTCTCCTGTGTGCAGAAAGCTGTGGGAGGATGTGAAGAGCAGAGCCAGCAGCACAGACCCCACTCTGCTCTGAAAGCCTCTCACAAGTATGAAGTATTCACCCTGTGTTTTCCAAGCTCCTGGCTGAGCCTGGTGCTGAACCAACAGCTTCTCCCTGAAACCAAACCCTTGACAGGACAGAGGCTGGACTGAAAGGTCCCCTTCCTCCAGGGTATGTGACTGATTGATTGATTGATTGATTGATTGATGGTTGGACCAGGAAAGTTGAGAGGTACTGCTTCAGATCGCTGGGATCCCATAAAAATACTTGCATTTTCCTAAGGAAGACAAATGCTGATTTCTGTGTGCATTTGGAGTATTACATCCCAGTCTCCCATCACAATGTGCTTGGCAGCAGAAACCCCGTATTTGTCACTTGTGGTCACTTCTACAGGATTTTAATGTCTTTAGAGCTGAAGCCTGTGCTTTGGTTCAGGTTGCTGCTACTCACTAGCAAAGGTTATTGTCACTCACTAGTAGAAGTTATCATAACTTTAGATTAGATATTGGGAAAAAATTCTTTACCATGAGGGTGGGGAGGCCCTGGCACAGGTTGCCCAGAGAAGCTGTGGCTGCCCCATCCCTGGAAGTGTCCAAGGCCAGGTTGGATGGGGCTCTGAGCAACCTGGGATAATGGAAGGTGTCCTTGCCCATGGCAGGGGGGTTGGAACAAGATGATCTTTAAGGTCCCTTCCTTTAAGGTTCCTTCCAAACAATTCTACGATTTCCACTGCCTGACAAGGAAGTAGCCAACTAAAATATTGCCTCCTCTTTCACATCAATAGCTTTGTACAGTGGATTAGTTCCACTGGAAAAAAAAATGACATCCATTAATAATGAAGGAATGATTCAGAGCCTCTGGAGGCAAGTGTTTTTTTCAGAGATTTCTGCCATTTTCTGACAAATGAGGTAAACGGTTGCCACTTCCAACGTCTTGAGGCCTCTTGCTAAGTTGGTGTTCACATAAAAGCATCATCCATCACCACAGCCCCTTCAGAGCTCAGGTACACCCTGGATCCATCACTTTCAGGAATTGTGGCTCACAGTTCACAGCAAAGGGACCAGTCTCTGCAAATGTCCAGATCTTCCTCTGGCTGTTAAATTGCACTGCACTGCTCTGAGCAGACCTGTTCTGATCTGTGCCTGTTGAGGTTCTGCTGCAGTGTTTTCAAACGTGGGCATGCTGGGAGAGAGAGAAAAGCTTTCACTCTCTTTGTTGCTAGGAAAAGCTGGGGTGCCAGGCTGACAAAACAACTTCCAGCAGTAAGAAACCCTTGGTGGATACACTGATTGTTACAGGCAATAGGAATGCCCTCCATCCCCAGGAAAATGGAAGGACAAGGGAGGACAAAGCACAATGCACTAGGCTCTGTAAAAGCCTCCCAAGATTGAAAGGAAGGATATGAGAAATTAATTGCAGGACAAGCACTAAATGAAAAGCCATTCAGTTGTCTGAATATATTTTAAACCAGAAAGAAATAGAATATAATCTAATCCCTCTGCCTGTGCAGTCTGCCAAAGAGCAGGGAAATAATTTTCATAGCTTGGCATCTGCACACTCCTGTATTATACATAGCATTTAATGTTATACCCAAAATGTATGTTGAAAGGTTGCTTGGGTTACCAAGTCTAATTCTTAAAAGTTCTGAAAGGCCAGAATGAACAGTGCTGGTGCAATCTCAATTTGGCTGTCTTGTTTGTGTGAGAGAAAATGGAAAGTCTCAGACTTTTTAGGTGGGGCTCATCATCTCTTTTTTTTTTTCTTTGGGAGAACATCAAAACAGCGAAATTATTCAGGTTTTTCCGATGTAGGGGAAACTTCAACAACAGTTTGCCTCAGGTTGGCTCAGTACTGAAGAGATTGAATGTTCAGGTTTTTTGAATTGACAAGGAGCATTTCAGCATTAAGCAGTGGCAGTGGGTGTTGCCATTTTCACAGAATCACGGAATATTCTGAGTTGGAAGGGACCCACAAGGATCATCGAGTCCAACTCTTAATTTTGCCATAAAGGAGCATGGGATTTGCCTATGTTTTCACCCCCAGTTACCTCATTTTTGGTGAAGCACAAATTCTCCTCTGGTCTAGCTATGAAATGCACCTACATGAGGTCAGCTGAGAGGATGACCCTAAACAGTGGCCAGTTCTGTCACAGCCACTGTGTAAAAGGACCACCACCACTGGTAGCCATTGCTGATGTTTTTAAAATAATAGCTGGCTCAGGGAAGACAGACATCTGGTGCTTAAGAGTTTAAACAAAACCCAGGCCCTGGACATTTTCAACTCGAAAAACAGACTGAAATTTCAGCTCAAGTGTTATTTCTCCTGCAGCTGACAATCCTGCAAAGCTGGAGAGAAATGTCAAAATATGTTTGAAAGCGAATACCTCAGGGGGGTGTTAAGGCAATACATGCCTGATTTCATCAGAGTTAAGCAATCCCTTACCTGCAGACCTAAGGAAAGGTGATGGAAATACCTGGGATATGTCACAAGAAGCTTTTTCCCCTGGTAGGTGTGTTCTTGGTGGTCAGGGAAACACATAAATGGGATCAGCTTCTCCCCATCAGCTGGTAGGAAACAACATGGGAGTTCATAACAGGTCCATAAGGCCCAGGGGGGCACAGGACAGATGGGGTTGTGAAATTTTGATCATGTTCCAGTGGGGATATTTTGGAGGGGTTCCTATTTGAGTGCAAGTACCAACTGTACGAAGGTGGCAGCCCATTCCTTACCTAGTGCAGGTGTGGATGGCAACTAGAAAGGTTCCTGTGTGCTCTGGATTAAGCCCAGATGGAGAACTGTGAACTCCAGCTCCTGTGAGTCATGGGGAGCAGCACCAGAGTGCTCAGGAGATAAAGCAGTTTCTGTCAGCTCAAGAGAAGACTTTCTCAGCAGGATTTCTCTGCTTACTGCTGGTTTGGGTAACATAAACTGCCCTTTTGCTATCTTGGCTTGGGAATTGTCACCTTTATTTAGCACCCTAAGGCAAAAGGCAGATCAGTTGCAACAATAAGCATAAGAACACGTTTATCTGGTGCCTTCTGGAAAGACAAGGTGTATTTACAAGTCTCCTGCAACGTGCCCTGAG